CCCCCAGTCGTGTCCTTTTACACCACCCCTCCCCCGTCTATCAGGCACATTGGGCTGAAACTGATCACTTCTCCCTCCCCCATTCGCATCTCACTCGCGCTCTCTTCTCTCGCTTTTCTCGCTCTTTCCCGTTTCCATGCGCTTGCTGCCTATTCACATTTCAATTATGGACCCCCGCCACTCTTGGCCTCCGGCCCCGGCCCGGGATGGTGCTTACATCCCCCGATTGCATCCTCAGCCCGCTATGCACCAGGATTGTAATGACCGCCCTTTCTCACCTTCTCTGCCAGCTACACCCGGATGGTGCTGACCGCAACCCATTTTATTCCCACTTGCGACGTGGCTGTGCAAATCAATTACATATTTCTGAGCTCTCTGCGAGTCAAAATTCACATTGCATTTTTCCTGGTCTAATTTCAAAACGTATTTGCGCGCATTGTAAACGAGACGAGTGCTTCGGTCGCCGCGTTCCGTTAAGCGCCAGCCTGGGTCGGGGGGCCCCCACCGCAGCCGCGAGCTGGCTGTGTCTAATTGCCGCTAAATGGACTCACCTCTCAGGGAAGCGCGCCAGGCCGACTGAGTAAGAGTGCTTACACAGAATTTTTTGCTCGTAGGACAATAATAAATATTACTTTCAATTCCCATTATCTGAAATCTGAAAGTCGCAAAGTGTAATAAAGCCGGTCGGGACAGCCATACCGAACCAGCGGCCGCTGGAAGCAACAGCCACAAAACGTTTCTTTCCCCAGCAATAAACAGTCTGCCGTAATGACTTTTGACCGCTTGCCCCCTCCCCTCTCGCTCCAGCCGACCGAAATCGGAATTGTAATTTTCGGTCGCCATGTGATGCAAAATAAACGACACATGTCACACGGTGAGCTCATCGCACTCCCCGCCCTGTTAACGCGGGCCTGCCCGGCCTGCCCGGCCCGCCCGCCCGGGAGCCCGCCGGTGCCGCCCGGCTCGTCACTGCAGCCGGCCGCCAGTGTTTGGGTTGGCAGTCCTGAGTGGTGGAGCTTTTGCTCCTCGCTCCCGCAGAGCTGCTCTGCGGAGGAAGATCTCCCGTGTGTTTGTCTAACGGCGTGGTTATTGCCGCTGCCATGGTTCGGGAAGACTAGCGTGTGTGTGCGTGTGTGCGGTGCCAAGATAGTTTGTGTGTGCGCGCGTGACATCGTGACCATGCAGCACACGGTGACCACGCTGGTGGTCGACGGCACGTTCGGCTTCACTATCGTCGTGCTGGACTCTCGCCGCCGCCATGCCGTGCTCATCACGGAGGTATAATGCATACACTGCCGTCGCTCAGGGGATTGTCCAGAAAGTATGTCCGTTTTTCCCGGGTTCATCCTGTGAATAGCCAAAGCTTGGCGCCTGCGAGACGCTGGGTAGGCCACTCCGCAGTACACGCATGCACAGCAGGCAAGATTTTGCCTACCTAGAAGGCGGTACGAGAACGAGAGCTTGCATTGCCCAAATCCGCGCAATTTCTGAACAACGAATGACGGGCGTACTTTCTGAATGACCCCTCAGTTTGGTGGCTGTGTAACTGTGCTGAGCCGTAGTGACGCATACGGCTCGACATCCATCATTCGTGTCAATTATCGCGTGGTTATTCATTTCCTCATTCGGTAATCTGAAAGGCTTTAAATAAAATGTGGAATGGCTGTAAATAATTTGTTGCTATGTAACAGCCTTCTTATTTTATTCATTTTTATACCCTTAAGACTATCTCTACCATAGGGCACAGTACCTCGCACAGTACGCCCCCCCCCCCCTCCTTCCAAAACACATATGGCACAGAGCAGGCCCTTGAGTGTATGGCTGCAGAGTTGTTACAGGTCATGGAAAACCTGGAAGTCATGGAAAAGTCAGGGAAATCAATTGCCGAGTCATGAAAAATTATTAAAAATTAGAAAATTGCAAAATTTGCTAGCGTTTCTAATTCCAAGCTCCCGCGGGCCTTTACAATGGTCGAATTTATTGTTTATCATCTTTTTTTTTCGCTCGCGAGTATTTCTATTGATCCTTCCGTATATTCATGTGTGTACATACTTTCATCGAGAATATCAAAGCAAATGTAAGTACAGCACCCAAACTTTGCACTCACATTTGCTGGCTAAAATTTTTGAATCCTTTTCGTCGGTATGGAAGTTTGGTCGCCACTGTGGAGTCCCCAAGCGAGGGGGATCTGGGTAATCTAGGGCGCATTTAAAATCGCTCAGCTTGGAGAATATATTTTACAAATTGTCGTGGTCTCTTCGTTTGCACTTGGCCCTTTTATACTTAGAGTCAGTAGCGTCAACCAAAAGTGGCCAGCAAACCCCTCATATGCGATTCAAAGGTGCGGTGTTTCCAGCTAGTTGCCAATATGGGCAGGGGGCCATCTGTCAAGGTAAAATTCGAGCTAAAACGTTACTTTTGGGGCCGGGAAAACCGGGAAGTGCCCACCCTGTAAATGAACGCATTCACAGGGCCGTAAGAAGAGTTTAACTAAGAAAATATTTTTTGGGATGAAAGTGCTGGAAAACCTCCAGTTTGGTCAGGGTGAAGTCTTGGAAAAGTCAGGGAATTTGAAAATCCCAACTCTGTATGGGCTGGTGTTTCGTTTGAAGGAGTCGTCGTTTGAACTTGATCTGTTTGTTTTTAATTGTGTGTTGTTAGTTTTGAAAGAAAATTGTTCTGAAGTCTTTCCGCCTCTGTCACGTGCCTAGTGAGCCCCATTCTGACGCGTTGCTCTCTTTGTCCTCCCCCAGGAGAGCTTCTTGCTGCCGGTGCCCGCGTTCTCGGGGGGCGCGCTGGCGCGGCCCGTCAGCCCGCTGGCCGAGGAGGCGGAGGGCGGCAGCGAGGAGGGTGACGGCGAGGCGGCGTCGGCGGGTGGCGGCGCCGGTGGCTCGGGCAGCGGCGGCTCCTGGAGGCGGCCCGGTGGCCCCGCGCCTGCGCCGGGCGGCACGGCGTCGTCGTCGTCCTCGTCCGGCGTCCGCGGCAACCCGTCGTCGACGGCGGCCTCGTCCGGCGGCAGCGGCGGTGCCGCCCTCGCCACCACCCCGAACCCCAAGACGCCGTCCAGCATCCTGAGGAAGTGCTACCCGTCCAGTTCAACGCAGGCGCCGTTTCTGCCCTCCAGCCGCCTGGAGGACTGCCTGCCGCCGTGCTACCACGACGCCAAGAACATGCCTAGGCTCATCAGGGTAAGTACTCGAGCTGTACAGCGGAAGTCTTTTCAAAGGCCGAAAATGGCGCGCGACTAACTTAGCCCACTCCCCCTACGTCCCTAGCGCTGCGCTGTGCGCGCTCTCTCTCACTCACTCTCTGTCTCTGTCGCGTGCTCTCTATCGCACGCCCTACCTTCCACCGTTCCGCCCTGCTGACTGCTTCGAAAAGGGTTAACCGTTGGCCGAGCAATGTGTACGGAGCTGAGCGCGCTCTTCGAGCATTGGCTGTGAGGGAGAGAGAGGGAAAGGGAGGGAGGAGGGGAGGGGGGGGCGGCAGCAGACAGAGACATCTCGAAGTTCGCCGATCGTCGTATGAAAGTCACATGGTCCAAACTTCCAGCACTGTCTCGATCTTTCCCATTGCACTGTTCATTGCGTCGTGTACCACCCCCGGGGGGTCGCGGGGTGGCTACCGGCCGGCCATCCCTAAACCTGGACCGCACCGCGCCGCGCCGGGACTGAGCCGATTGCGGTGCCAATATCATTCAGAACGAGTCTGGGTGGCCGGGTGCGACATGGCATCGGCTTTGTGGGGGGACGGGGGAAGGGGGGGGGGCGCCGCGACCCGGCCACGGCGGCGCTATCTCTGGCCGGCAGTCGCTTTGTTTAGCGCGGCGGGGGGTCCTGGCCGAGCAGGGGAGGGACCGGCCTGGATCATCGGACAGCCCGGCCCTCCGCCCCCGCGCGGGGCCCCGCCGCCATCGACTCGACCGCTGCTCTATCGGACGAGCCGTGCCTTTGTAATGAGAAGGCACGAAGGCACTCCCCACCACCCCGCGCCCCCCGGGGAATGTGCAGTGCGCTCCAAGTGAGAGACTTATCACCTGTCGTGTCGAATACCTTGCTCGTCGTGCATCCCTTCCCCTTCCTCCGCCTCCCTCTCACGCGCTCCCCCTCCCCTCCCTCTCGGCTCTCACCCTCGCCCTCACACGATTATCCTCACCTCAGTGCCCTCCCCTCCTCCCGCTCTCCCTCCCTCCGGTCTCCGCTCGCCCCGCCCCGCCGCGCCCCGCCGCGCCCGGCCGTTCTGGCCGGCGGAACCTATAAATGTCGGTGGTGGCCCTGCTCAAAGGTTAGTCGACATTTGGACGCGCTGCGCGACACTCGCCGCCGCGGCCGCCCCGCCGCCTTGGGTTCGCCTTGGCCCCGGACCCCATCCAGGGTCCCCATCCGGGCCTCGTCCCGAGCCAGGCCGTGAGCTGGCGGCCCCGGCCTCCTGTGCGGCGGCCTGCCATGTGCCGGCGCCTCTGTGCCCGTCGCGAGGCTGGGTCCGGCTCCGGCCGGGGGGCTGGCGGCGGTGCGAGCGCGCACGGCGCGGCGGGCTCGGGCGGCGCGGGGGCTGAGGCGCGCTCCGCTTGCGCCGGCCCGCCCGAGGAGGCCAGCGAGGCCAGCCCGGCCAGCCCGGCCAGCCCTCGCGGCGCATCCCTCGGCAGCGAGCTGGCGGCGGAGCTCGCGCTGCCCCCGTCTGCCCGCAACTGGTGGTCCCTCAGTCGGCGCGTGGGCCTCAGCAGGAGCGGGCGCGCGCACCGCCTCGGCCTCCGCACCCCGTCCAGCGCCAGCTGCGCCAGCTGCCCCAGCTGCGGCAGCACCAACCACCTGGGCACCCACCTGGACCTGGACAGCGGCCGCCGGGGGTCGCAGCGCCACGTGGTCATCGTCGTGGACGTGCTCAAGATATGACGCCGCGGTACGTTGAGGTGGTGAGCCTGCTGGCGACTCCGCCGCGCCGCGCGAAGACCTGGTGCGGGGGACGTTCTTGTGGAGGGCCCCGTTCGACGCCGTGCTCTGGCCTAGGGGACGTGCTAGTATATGTGCCGGAGCTCGTCCGTTATTTTTGCGCCGCTGAGCTGGGGGGTTTGGCCATGGGCCGCAAATTTCTTAGCCGTCGTTTGATGCCTTTGTGCTTGTTCGTTTCAAGTGGTTCTCGAGCAATCCCCGCCCCTTCG